AAAAAAAATCACGAGCTGAGCTTGGTAGTCACGAAAGAAAAAAACGTGTTCATTCTTATCCTTGCCCACAAAGCAGTAACTAAAAACTCTATAAACATCTTCCATAAATAAAACACACTACATACCGCCGATAACTTCCACAAACTCGGATCCATTCATTGAGATGAACGGTGCTGTTGATTCAGCTGCCAGAGCTTTCGCTATGAGGGTCTTTCCACATCCAGGAGGACCGGTGAGCAATGCACCACGAGGTAACTTCGCACCCAACTTCTATAAACAAAATCGATCCGTAAACCACACCGTTTCTATGCATGACGCTTTACATACCGTGTACTTATTCGGATTTTTGAGATAGTCCACAAATTCACTGATTTCTTGTTTGGCTTCAAAGCAACCAGCAACATCCTGAATTGTTGCCATGAATGATGACATCATATGTACGAAAATAAAGTCAAATAAAAGCCCTTGCAAGAGGCTAATGACTGTACCTTGAACTTGATCCTAAGCTGTTTCTTTCCTTCAGGACTGTGCGGGTCAATGACAGTATACTTCCCCTTTGTTATATTAGACTAAACATGCAGAATGTACAAAACATGTGCGCATTAATTAAGACAGACTTTGCTTACCATCATATCGGAGATGTTGAATGAGCCTTTGAATCTTCGGAATAACATGTATGCACCAATAGCGAGACCGCTAACGAAGATGAAAGTTAGCCATTGTCCTCTGCAAGATTGTGATACCAACCAAAATTAATGCTAACGAACAACACCAGCATCAGGAGACCACTCACACAGCTTCCATGCGGCGATATTGTATGGGAGTCCAGTATTCCGGGGGTAAGTGCGCAGCGGATTCTGCAGCTCGCACTTCTTCTTCGAACTTTGTCAAACTCGGAATTCCGAGACGGTATATCGCTGCCATCTGTAGAGCAGTGATGAAATAACTGTCAAGTTTGTCAAAAGAGAGATTAACGAATATAATGCTCAATTGCGACAATTTTGCAGCAAAATCAAACCATCTTGATCGACTAGTCAAAACTGATAACGATGAAAGGTAGTGTGATTCAGTTAAAGGCAGTGTCTGGACTAGGTTAGAGGTTTTGGGATTTCATTGTTACGCAAAAGTAGCCGCCCTGCCATACCTCTCAGCCCAATCG